TAATATTTATAAATACAAACATTACTGCTGTAAGTTTTGTAGGTGATCTTGAACAAACTGTTTATGTAACTGAAATGATGTGGATGATTGATGGTATAAGGCAAGAAGTTCCGAAGTTTTCATACAATGTAAGAAAATGAATCGTCTACATAAAGGATCCAATCTTCACATGTGGGATGGTAGATCATGCATTGATATAAAATAAAACAAAAGTGGCCCCCGATATTGATTGTTGCATGAACACTGTTATACATGAACATGACGACACAGCTTTCTTACACCCACACACACATGCATACACCCACACAGTTAGACAAAACTGTTCATGCGGTCCCACGTATCCTATAGTTTTCTAATTTGGTTTTTAATGTGTCATTTTCAAGCCTATCAAACACTTTCATAAGGTCAATGTATATGCCCATATTAAGTTATTTATTTTCTGATTTACTTTTTTTTTTCAACAATATTAAGTAGAGAATGTTCTGTTGATTTTCTCTTCCTCTCAAATGCATACAATATGTTTCTCGAAAAAATCGTCAGGTATTCAGTACATTGCCCTTTCAACAACTTTGGTCAGTCCTCACAGTATGGTGGTTGGACGATAATTAGCAACTTTCATCTTGTCAACTTTCATAAACATGGGCATTATTTTGGCGACTTTTAATTTTATAAGAAACCAACCTGCTTTGCTAATATCATTGATGACATATATGATAATGGCTATGCTAGTGGTGTAGATAAGTGTTTTATAATCTCAACCTATACAACATCGTCTCCTACCAGCTTGGTGTTTAGTGCAAGAATTGCTTATTTAATTTCATTGTTGGTTGCTGGATAACAAAAATTCATTTCAAGCTTTTTGTGCCATGAAGGCACAAATGTTGTTGCATGATATTGTGTTGCCTACAGTGCCTACATTTCTAAAGTGATTATTAAAAACATTGCTAAGGTTAGTTTTAACCATACTGTTATCACCATTATTAGTGATGGAAGTGCTACTCCAATTCCTCCAAACTGCTCCAAAAGAGAAATGCTGCTCCATGTTGCTTCAAAGTGCCATATTTGCTATTAGCTGCTCCAAACTTGCTCCAAAATGATGTGGGCAAGCCAAAAAGAATGAAGTTAAACCATGGGACCATCCCATGAGCCTAAGCGAAACCAAAAGCAAGCTGTATACACTATCATCCTAGTATGCTACTCATTGGCATAAATCCAAAAAAATCTCAAGGGGCGACACATATCAGGCCGTAGTGTTCAATGCGTTTTTTAATGTGGGATGTATTTTTGTTTATATAAGAATTAAATCATGCTTTCAAATAAAATATTTAAAAAACTAGTGTGGGGTTTCATCTCGAGAAATTTCATTGTTCTATTCAGTCTCTTTTTTTCACCTTTTTTAGATTTCCATAGTTTACACAGCAGAGGCGCATATAATACAGGTACGCAATAAAAGATACAAGCCTTTTAAAAAAGTTGATTGCACTATACATAACCGTTAACTCAATCATATCACGTGCTAAAGCTAAATCTCAAGTGGGACACTTGCAAGGGGTGTCCTGCACATTGTGAACACAAATAAAGTCCAGACTCTCTTGACCCCCACCCATGATTTACGCCAACTATACTGCTTACATACTACCTGCATACTATAGAATGGCATGTATATTAATAAATATAAATATTTATTAGATGCTTAAGTGATGTTTTAGACTTCAGGAGTCATGAGGAACATGCATCTGCTCCAAAAAAATCAATAGCAACCCTAAGCTATAGCATTTTTTTCTGGTTCGAAGACACTTGAGCCTGCTCCAGAGCACCATTTTTTCTGCTCTAAAATCTTCTCCAAGAAGCAAAATGTCACTTCCATCACTGCATTAATAATCCATGGAACATACCCACTGTTCCTGTATTGAGGGCTTAATCAATAACTTTCTGTGTCACCTTACTGCCATTATTAGCTTGTACTATTTTCGAACTGAAACAGCCACGCCTCAAAATTTCCAAACCTTTGGTAAGGTGGTCATTCTATCGCTTGTATCTGGCTTCGAGACTGATGTTATGCTGTTGACGCTTTAACTTTTTATACATGTTGTTCTTGTGATTCATGGAGCGCAAAAGACCAGCAGTTATTCATGATGTGCATTTGAAATTAGTTCTAGTAACAGTGACCGTAGTCTCTCTAACAGTCATGTGTGTTTGCAAAATGTTAATGAATGTGTTATATTTTTTCTCGGTTAATCCTGCAGAATGCATTTCTTGCCCATTTTTTTTCTGGCCAGAGTGAAAAATCTGTTGTTTTTTTTTATAAATTATGTAGGTTTAGGCAAATATTCAAATGCTTCAAATAATTGAATGAATATTGAAGTATTTGAAGTCACTTCGATTGAAGATTAAAATATTGAAAATTTTGAAGTATCTGAAATAAACAAATAGGTGTATGTTAATCCACATGTACACCCCTGTAAAGGTGGTTTCACTGTTCTAAATAAATGCTAAGCCATGAAAACATTTGTCTATTATATATTAATTAGCATGTAACCTCCTGTAAAAATAATTTCACTGCAGTAAAAAAATGTTAATCAGTGAAAACATTTATTCAGGAAAAATTTACACTGCCACAAAGCTCCACTTTAAGTTAAATGTACATATAACCTTCATGCTGATTCATTTTTTTATGTTCAAAAGCTCGTTACACAGTCTTACATGCACTAAATGTAATAATTTCTAAACCTTTCATATATACCAGGTTATCACTAGCATACTACCAAAAGTAAAATCCTGCTATCATTGAAAGTTGTTTAAAAATATAGGCAGGTTAATTAGGTCATGACTGATATACCCATTTTTCTTCACAATATGTGATATATACTATTCGAATGCGATTCGAAACTATTCAAACAAAATTACTATCACTTAACCTAAAATTCACTATTCGCACAAGCCTAAAATTATACATGTTACTTCAACTTCCGTTTGATATTGCAAACACTGGCAGATGATTAGTAATGTCACATGAAATGGTGCCTGTTAAAATTAAATATCAGTGATTAATGGTTCATTATATTGTGGTCAAGTACACTTTGTCGTGAGCTTGTTATAAGAGTAGCAGATGTTCATCTTAATTTTAGCAGTGCACTGGGGGACAAGGATCAAGAAGGAAGAACGTGCACATGTTGTGCACATTCTTTCATCTTAGTCCTCGTCTCCCAGTGCACTGCTAAAATTAAGATGAATACGTACCAGCTTGCTCAAAATTTGATCCTTATGTAACTGATGTTATTGATTGCACCAGGCCTTCACCAGTGAGTAAGCCAGCATAAAACTAATTAGTGGAATTCTTCCGAGTGACATCACAATTGATATCACCCCGTAAAATGATGTGAATGTTGGGTTCGGTGTAAGTATCAAGTACTAGTTTTCTAAGTAGGGTTTAGTGTAAGTATCGAGCAGTTTTCAAAGTTTGTGAAGAAAGTTCTCAGTTTAGTTATATTGTGACCTGTATACGACAATTATCAAAGTTTCTTTGGTCTGCTGTGGCAGTAAGCTTTTCATATAATTCTACAATGACCCTAGTTATCCATGTAACTAATAAACAATGTCCTGCACCTCTTATTATGATACGTTGGTTAAAATTTTTTTCTTTTATGCAATTATTGCCAATATCCTACTTTCCAGAATGATTGTGCAGTCCTTATACTCCAGTGACTGTTCACGTGGCTGGTGTCACAAAACTTATTTGCTGACACACAACATTCATGTCCTGGTTCTCAAAGAGGGTGGCGATTTGGGCTTGTTGGTATGGTTGCATGATGATGGATGGTAGCGCAGACAACGAACACGGACAAGAGTGTTGTGTTGTGTCTATGTGCCTACTCTTGTCCGTGTTCGTTGTCTGCGCTACCATCCATCATCTGGTTCTCAAAATTTTGAGTACCAGTGCCGTTCAAACATACTAACAAAGCTTTTCAAGCAGTAAATGAATAAATCTTCAGTGCCGTACACTGGAAGTTACACTCCATAGTATGAATTTAAAAATGCACTTCGAAATAAAACTCAGCCTAATTTTTGAAATCTTTATTACTCATCAATTATATAGCACTATTGATGCAATTATCATTCACATACTGGATCGTTCTAAAATTGGCTCACAGTTTTGATAAGGTTTCTCATAAACATATACAATAAAAGTCATCTGGCCTTGGCAATAACATCTTGTAGTGCATTAGATGCTTCTTACAAAACTGCACTCACTTGGTAATCCTCAATTGCCATTACTCTCCGCTTTGAAGCATAACTTCTCTAGTACACTAGTTAAGTACCCAGGTAAGCCTACTTTGTTCCCTGTTTATAGTACCAACAACATTTTTTCTGTGCTATCACTTAGAATTTACTCATTATTTGCAAGTAATGGTGTTACCACTTGTGAAATAACTAATGCAGAGGATTTCAACTACCTGCCATAGTTACTGTATACGTAGAGGTATCAGGCATAAAAGTAGACGTCAGTGAACTTAAATTCATGTATGTGTCCTAAATAACATACATAATGCATACATTGCTCAAGTAATTGTCCCTTGGAACTTTTTAGGCATTTTGGGTGAGCGGCTGTCGGTTCAGTTATTTTGAAACATCCCTACTTCCTACAAAATTAGCAATTAAAACCACGTGCTTGGCTTTCGTTAGAAATTTTGACCATTCCATCCTTAAAAATAATTCTTTATGGTATTCTCATACAACCAAACAAAAATATGCCCATGCATGTACCCTCAATTAACGTGTTTTATAAACGAATTTATCCATTACCTACAAATAAGCCTTAGAAATATGCATTTTGCCCTGCTCGACACTTTAGTGGTCCCACTCAACGCATCCTAAGGGCTCAATAGAGCAGTACTTTACGTTAGTTGGTACAAGCTTCATATATGTTGCAGAATTTTGTGCAGCATAACTGTAACAAGGGGGACACTCATGAAGGCACAGAAGTTGCACCTACCTGTTTCGGAAGTATTCTTTTTTTTTTTCTATGACTTCCACAGCATACACCAAGCACCATAAGGGCACAGGGACCTCTGAAAAAACATTATAGGTCTTACAACTTGTGACTTGGTCCAAGACCGACTGTACAGCGACAGTTGATTCAAGGCAATTTGATACTGTGGTAGACGAATGAGTTAGTTGGGAAGTGCCAGATAATGGTATACATAACTCCCCAAAAAGAACCAAACATGCACCTTTATAATGAGGAAATATTCATGTCAGTGCGACATTTGTTTATGTATACCAGGCTCACTTGTGGTTCGATTGTCATTACAGAAGGTGCAAATTTAGTTGTTTTGTGTCATGAAATATGTCTTAAGAATATGTGCACTGCATTTTTCATTAGTTCCATGGATACCTATGGGTTTTCCAGAATTGTATCTTTGTCCCTTAGGAGTCGATCATAGTGCAAAATTTTCGAACAAGACATGTGAAAGAAGTTTGCTTAACAATTTAAAGTGCTTAACAGTTTAAAGCAATATTATGTCTAAATGCATACCTATAAGCATTCAACAAGTGTTTTGTGGAGTGATACAGGCATTTTTTACAGTTAGATAGCCACTTCAGGTGGGCACTGTACTTAGAAACATCAAAATTCGAGGTAATCAAGCAATATAAACTGCAACTTTTCATTATACTTCTGGAGCTTTGGTGGTGAAAGGTCTATATTCTTCTGAAACAAACAGTTTTCAATATTCACTATAAAAACATACAGTTAGTTTTCTATATATATATATATATATATAAGTAAAGGTTATTTTTATAAACCTGCGCAATTTCTTTAGTGTGTCTGCTGTGGAGGTTGAAATAGTCAAGGAGCAGCCCGAAGCTTTGTCCTCAGGCTGCTCTTCCACAGATATATTAATGACTTTCCAACTTAATGTGTTGTCCAGTACAATATATGCCTTTTCGCAGATGGTGTCACACCAACAACATTCAAAAGACAGCTTTACTCTTTAGCACGACCATCTCCTAATTTAAGAATGGAGCTGCAAATTGTGCATGTCCTAAATGGGAATAAGATGCTCCCCTGTGTCTTTTCATCCGTGTTATTATAATGTAGTGCATTCCTACCCCTAACCAAAAGTCACATTTTAGCTAAGTACAGGGCATCTGAATATCTAGGAGGGCATGCATCTAGTGACATGCCTTGGACCCATCATATTAATTAGTTAACAAATTCCTGCAATTGGTTACTTGGTAATTATCTATGCCAAAACTTGTCTTCATCATCATCTTTATCCAGACTAGCTGCGTAATAAACCTTAAATAAATTCTAGTAGAAAATGCCTCTACATTCAATAACAACAATCAAAGTAACGTAATTATTTCTCTGTAATATAGGTCGAGAAAAAATGTGTCAGATTCATCCTTGTGGACGACATATGAAGTGCTTCAGCTCCAATACCTATATTGTCTCTTCTCTCACACACCTCTCACTGCATATGTGCTCGACAACTATTTTACTACAGATTTTTCGATTCGCTACCCCATAAAACTATATCAATATTCCAGCAAATATTTTTCTCACCACATGTATGAATAAAATTGCTGTGTATCAGCCATGTGTCCATCAGTGTTCAATTTTTTCTGCATAGTTAATTCCCAACAATGTCATGTCCTTCCATTGGATAATTCCCTAATTACCAATATATTTCTCGTTTCAAAGTGACTTTTGAAGACCATCTGTAAATTTGCAAAATCTAACCCAACCAGCCAATTCTTCAGTGTTCCCGCCCCTCATGTAATGTCCCACATCGGAACCTTTGAGGTATCATGAATAAATAGGTGAATAAATAAGCCGAAATGCAGGTATGCAGGGATAATTTATATTAGGTAGGTACATAATATCCAACCTTGTGCCTGCGTAGGATGTCAAAACAAGGCCAAGGTTGGGTGTACAAAATTTGATACAGTGTCAGTTGTATTACCAGCTGTGATAATGAGATGGACGTATGAATTGATGCCATTAGACCTTTTTAGAACAACTCTGCATCTTTCTATAAATCATAGTGCCATGCAAAATTTCCTCTAACGGAGGTGTGCATGGCAACATATGAGAGGACAGAAATGCAGGCCTCTCAAATCACTTTGACGCCATGCACATTAACCTTCGTTTGCAGCACATGCTGCATGTGTCTTACATGTAGTATTCTTTGTTCATGCTGCTTTATTTGCGCATCTTTGAAGGGCCTAAACGGCGTACCTCTAATATTTTTCTAACACTTCGAGAAATAAACACGCACATCGTGTGCAGGATACTCTCGTGATCAACGATTCTGCACGTGACAGCGCTACGAGCCACTGGCGCGCCACAAATTTCAAAAAACAATTCCGCCCCCTCCCCTGCGGCCTTTTGGGCCTCCGCGTGACGCTGAAAACTTGATTATTTGACGTGCAGAACATCAATGGTGTGATTGGTCGAACAATTAAGAGCCTACGACTTTCTTGGAAGTGTAGCAATTTGGGCTAGTTGGTATGACATGACGATAGTTATAGCGCGAGAAGAGAACGACAACAAAGAGACGTGTCCGTCTTGTCTCTTTGTCATCGTTCTCTTCCCGCGCTATAACTATCGTCATGTCATACGACTTCCGTTTGGTCTGCAAGCAGCTGTCCGCACTGCTTGCTGTTGTTCGTCGTGTTACCCGCGTGCGTGCGCGCACTTCAGACTACTGCCCGTAACACATGGTCCATACCGGCCGCGGGCCAGCATGGCAGCAGTGGTTAGCCAATAAGCATGCAGCTGGTTAACGGAGTCCCGGCTACAGTGTTTCGAGCAGTGCGTGGCCAATTACGTATGCTGTGCGTGATTGAGAGGGGCACTCAGCGAGAGGATACCAACAGAGGGTAGCAAAAGAAAGGGCGAAAGAGTGACATTGCAGCATTTCTACTATCAAACATGCCCAACTCCGCCATTACAACCCCGTTTCGAAAAATTCTCAAGGCTCCATGTTCGTAATACACTCATGCACAACTTCCCCACCGCAGCTGAATTTCGACCTCTGGGTGGTTTAGGGACCATTTAAAGCGACGCTTGTATTGGTGCACAAGTGTTGAATATGTCGGCATTGGGTGTACAAAAAAATCATCATAAGGACAATGCAAAAGCTCCTATTCTTTTCTTGTGCGTGCTAATAAAGAAAATGGGAACATGAATGCTCGTGATCGAGCCATATGAATCCAGATTGGTTTCTATACAAAGAAAGAAGGAAACAAAAAAAGTCAGAAGTAATGATAGAAAGGAAGTACATGCACTGAAAAGAGAGAGAGAAGGAAAGATAAACAGCGAGAGAGATACAAAGAAAGGGGCAATGAAAGAAAAAGACCTGTATGCAGAACAAACATGTGGCACTTACAACAGACTAGGCAGAGTTACAGATATTTGTCGCACATTGTAATTGCATCCTGATGAGTAAGTTGAAAGCTAAGTCGGTGGCCGACTTACCTACATGCAGCTCACGATGCAGATCAGCCAATGGCTGTGAAATTGGATATATGGCGTCATTTGTAGACAGAAAAGAGAATCGATTTATCTATATCTGAATTGTAATTTGAAGGCCGTGTGCTGTACTATAATGCTTGCGTGTTCTCAAGACCCTCGAGTATACTGATCGACAGTGTTTTCTGACTATGCTGAAAAGTGTCACAGGCCCCTTCAAATCTTCTCTTTTGCTCAACACACTTTTACCCTCAGCACACATGTACGTATCATATATGGTTATATGTGCAAAACCCTAAGTTCGGCAAATAAAATGAACACTGTGCCTAACCCAGAAAACGTCCGTGCACCTCATGAGGAAACATGTCGACATAAAACCTATATGCTTTTGCTTAGAACAACCTATAATATATATTTTGTTTGAAACATTATATACACATTCCAGCTGCACCTCTACATATGGTTGTCACTCACTGCTACTGATCGGATTTATAAAACTTCGTCTTCATCATAGAAGCTAGGCCTAGCACACTCGGCTAAATCTGTACCATGCTCGTCTGGTGATTGTTGTATATACACGTCTTGCGCTTCAAAGTTCCTGCAGCTCTTGCTGCACTTTGCAGTCACCCAATCATGAAAGCTCCCTGGCACGTACTACTCACTCACCAATTTCAATAAATTTTCTGCATTAAGCATGCTTGAAATCAAATGACACGACACACTTCCCACTTGGAGGAGACTCAATTGTTTTAGGCTTGTTTGAGTGCCTCTGAGAATTCACAACGCACTACCCTCGCACGCTTAGAGGACATATATCTGTACAACATATCTGCATACAACCTCAAACTTTCACATGGCTTTGATTATATGACTGGACCTTGAAAAAGAAATCAGTGCCTCTTTCACACGTAAAGGGCATAAGGCTGAGTCAATGCAGAGTTGGTCAGCTTGGCTATAGCTTTTACCGTCTCATTTCCCAATTTAATATGCTTGCTCCCTTTTATCTTTGCATCTGTTTCTTTTTGATTGCTAGCTCTCTCTTTGTTTTTATTTCATTATTTTTTCTCTTCTCTCTCCCTCTCTCAATATTTTCAATCTCTACTTTTCCTCCACACTTCTCTTTGCAGCCCTCTTGTTATAATATATACTATACTATAAAAGGCTAGGTTGTCTACTAGCATGACTGGATAGCAAAGTGGTAACAACACTTGCCTTTGCATTTGAATGTCCCAGCTCGAAGAAATTTTCTCGCAGAGAATTTCAGTCTTTTCCTTTTATTCTGTCCGTTTTTTTTTGTTTCTGTCTATACTACCCATTCTCCTTCTTCTCAGAATTATGACATGCTGTGCTAGATGAATTGGCGTACCTGTTATGGGAGCGAAGCTGAAGAGGAAGAAGATGATGAAGAGACCATCGGCTGCTTCATGGTGTAAATTTGTTTTTCTCCAACACATGGCAAACCTGTAGCATAACAGATCTATTAAAACTCTACTGTGCTGTAAAAAGAAATAGTAAAGCAGATAGTTTACTATGCTCTCGACAAAGGCGAGGACTTAATGTAACTTCTCAATCTATCAGCATAGCAAATATCTAGTATAACTGATCTGCATAGTAAATCTACCTGAATAATAAAGTATCTAAAGTAGCATAGCTATCTACAGACTAAAGCATCTGCACAGCGAGGCATAATAATAGTGTAGATAGCTGGGCCAGTTGGTTCTCACACTGTTTGCTACCATGAGCATAATGTAGTTTATGTCATGCTCTGATAAAAGTTTCACTTGGAATGGCAACTGTGCAGAGAGGTATACCTGGAAAGTATGTTCATGTTTCAAATAAAACAGTTTTGAATTTCACTTTGGTTCTATTTTTATAGCCCATTACACTCTGAAAAAAAAAAGGTAGCCCTCACACGTAAGGTTAAAAAGCACATATCCGTGATGAAATAACATTGCAGTCTTCATGGAGCCAAAGAGATATGATACATATTCTGCCTATGGTTTGCGTGCACTGCTATAGCTATCACTTTTATATTGGCATAAAGGGAAAGTAAAAATATGTTTCGTCATCTGCTTTTTTAAGGTGCAAGATGCAGAGGTTGTAGCGACAAGATAGTGACAAAAAATTAGGTAGAAAAATTGCACGTACACAGAAAATAATAGTACAAGAAAAAACAAAAACTGCAAATGCAAAATGTCCTAAATCAGCACTGCCACATCTAAAATCGTGTTTAAGAACGAAAGGTGCCACACAAATTTGGGAGAGTCAGGATGGGTGGTGATGTGGCGTATGATGCACCACTCACACCCTGCCGCGGTGGCCTAGTGGCTAAGGTACTCGGCTGCTGACTAGCAGGTCGTGGGCTCGAATCCCGGCTGCGGCAGCTGCATTCCTGATGGAGGCAGAAATGTTGTAGGCCCGTGTGCTCAGATTTGGGTGCACGTTAAAGAACCCCAGGTGGTAAAAATTTCCGGAGCCCTCCACTACGGCGTCTCTCATAATCATATGGTGGTTTTGGAACGTTAAACCTCACATATCAATCACTCAATGTACCACTCACACCTATCTTTATCATTTTTCGTTCACTTAGTATGCAAGAAAGTTGAAATTAAATAATGTATGATTGACTGAATGTCAACTTTTATAGTCTATGCCAAATTACATTTCTGTGATGTCAGAATCTCTAGGTAATTGTTAGACTAACAAACCTAATGATTTTCACATTTATGCCTCCTAAGGGGACTGAAAACTAACAAGCCATAATGTGTCTGTGGATCTTTGTGTATACTGAGAGACCCAGAATTGAATCAAATGTACTTTTGCAATTTGAGTAGAATAAGCATTTCTAAATTGAGATTAAAAATCGTAACAGCTGCTCTGTGGTGCCGCTTGGTAGTGAAGCCTTAGTACTGAGTTTTAGAGTCATTACATTGCTGTATGTTGCTTGCTAATGCTCATAAAACTAGGCTTAAAATTACAGTAAGTGTTTAAACACATCCTCACCTTCTTCTTTGCCTATTGCATAGTAAAAATAGTTGATGCTGAGAAGTGTTTTTTTCACGACATCCGGAAATTTGCATTTAACCATGGTGCGCATCCATACGGCATCACAGGTAATTTGGCACATGCACTCTGCTATGGAAGAACCCGGTGCAAGTACAGCCAACAGCTGTTGGCCACTGTATGCAACATGTGCAGCATATAATAAGACTTCATCGGCAATAAATTTTTAATAAAGATATTTCATTCCTTTTTCCTGTTGTCATTTGCATGATTAGACACTCTCAGTTTTAAGATTTTTATTGCAACAAAATAAACAAGTACAATAAAAATTGGTTGTTAGCCCGTTTAAAGGATGGGACTACTAGAAATTTTAAAAGGAGAATTGCAGCATCTGTAGGAAATAATCAGGCCCTTCGAGTTTACAGAACTCTTAAAAAAGGGTAAGCGATTACTTCATAGCTGGTAAAATCACTTTTTTGGAGAGAAGTAGCCAGCTGCACTACATAAGCTCTTATGTTTTATGCTTATAATCTGCCAGCAGAAATAGCATTGATCACATTTCAACAATATTTATTTTGGTATAGTAAATAATTCAATATTCTTGCATACCCTTACAATATTTGCAGTGTAGAAATTTTCATGATGCATATAACTTTTCGTGTTGGCTTTACATGTTTTCTGGAAAAAGCTTCTGTGCTATGATCATAAAATGTTTGAACAAAGCCTTTATAGAAAGTGTTCTACTCATTCTAGACTTGCTTTTTGCAAATCAATTGTATTGTTCATATATATTCATTTCTTACAGATATAGTTGTGTAGCTATGTAATTGATATATTAACCACTATTTGGCCTATGACGACTTGGAGTGTGGAGATGGGTTGTTAAAAGTGAACTTACAGGCTGTCCAGAGTGGACGGAAAAATCTGGGTTATTGTTGTGTGAGTGCCAGAGCATATCAGTTGAGAATAAATATGAGATTCGTATTCCAGGATGAGGTTATGATAAAAAGGCATGTGAACATGTCTTTTTGCCAGAACATGCCTTTTTGCCTGTACTAAAGCATTTCATGGTGAGAAAAGACTGATGTGTGTATTATTGACACATATGTTAAAACTTTCGAAGGTGGAAACGTTTCAGAGCAATGTTTTGTAATGCTGCTTGATGTCAAAAGACTGTGACACAGCACATTGCCATATGCATATTTGCTGGCAAAGCGACAAATACAGATAAATGGGAATCAACACGTCATGTTTTTGTTGTCTTATGTGAGTCTCTATTATTCCCTCACTGAAGCTATGTACCATCTTGCCAAGTCATATAGCAAAGTTAAACTATTGCAATGTATGTGGCATCATTAACACAAGCAATAACAGGAATTATGCTAAAGCTCTTGTAAAATCACAGCCTGAAGATGATGACCAGTTTACTTTTGTTGGGAAAAGAAGTGCTGAAATTCGGGACGTCACTGTTTGCATATGTTTTAAGTGCTGCAGTGGAGCCTTGTGAATATAAAACTGTGGTGCTCCCAAAAAGAAACTTTTCTCTCTCTTCTGTGACTAACGTGAAAAAATTATGCAGATTAGTATAAGTAAAATACATCACAGTTGGGAAAAGTGATGTGTTCCCCGACACTATGAGTGAATGCAAGAGTACTTATATTAGCATTGCTTTGGAAGGGAAATATTAAATTCAATATGAACTTCAGCTTCCTCTGCAGTGGTGTTGCTGCAGGGTGTACACCTTCGTACTACTATGGCAGCATTCGCCAGAACTAAAGCCTCTTGTACAGGGTCACCACAAATCTTGTACAGAAGTGCGACAGGTATGAACCAGTGCAAAGAACGCAAGCTGAAGTGGTCACTGGTCTTAAGCATGCACACCAGGCTTTAATTCTACATTGTCTGATAGCTCCAGTGATAGCTGCGTGGCATCAGCTATAGAGTGACATAGACAAGTGGCATATTTTTGCTTGAGACAACTGCATGGGAATGAGAAAAGGACACAGTGCAAGAAAAAAAGGTTAGGGCTTGTGGTGAGGGTATTACGAAAATGTCTTATGCGCCGTCTTCCAATGAAGAAGCAACTTCTATACCTAGTCTCTCATCGGTTAGTGGAGTCTGAAAAACATTGGCAGTACAAGTTCATGGCTACATAAATATGATGGCCAGGAGAGATGCCCTCCTGAAATGTTGACCTACACCCTTCTTTTCTGCTTTTCCTGGTGTACTGGAGGTTTTGCATCGTAGATACTAGAACCTTGAGTGGGTACACCTTAAGGGCTTATGATTGAGCTCACACTTACCACCTGCTTTACCTAATGGCCAAACATGGTGCTGGAGCTTGTTAGCCCCAACAAAAATCTTTAAAAAGAAAAGAGGTTTTAAGTATTACAAAAAACAAAGCTAGATCGCTGAAAGATTACCACCACATATCCTTTACAGAGACCTCGCTTACACAGTCTGCTAATGCGCCCCAAGTGGCTTTTAGTTGACTTTATATGTGGGGTTTAACGTCCCAAAACCACCATATGAGAGATGCCGTAGTGGAGGGCTCCGGAAATTTCGACCACCTGGGGCTCTTTAATGTGACCAAAATCTGAGCACACGGGCCTACATTTCTGCCTCCATCGTAAATGCAGCCGGGATACGAACCCGCGACCTGCAGGTCAGCAGCCGAGTACCTTAGCCACTAGACCACCGCAGCAGGGCAAGTGGCTTTTAGTTAACGCGCACGCTGCAAATTTTTTATCGTTCAACAACGCACAGGAGAAACCTCTTACCGGCACCACCTTGCTGGATGAATGGATGGATGTGGCTGCACCCTTTAGAACGGGCGGCGGCTAACGCCACTTAGGCGTAATACTTGGTGAACTAACCACTAGATTTATCCTTTTTTTTTCTTTAAATAGTGAGGTTGAGGATTCGTACTTTGCAGTGAAAGGTTTAATTTTCACTCGTGCCTTGACTTTAGCCACCAATCAGACAACCTCCTTCTAGTTAATTCTACCCGCTATAAGTCTATTTTGCCCTCCCTGTCCCTAAACCCCAGTGCTTTGAAAAACTCTGCGCCATCATCCTGAACTATAGGGGGAAGCCCTTTACAGAACTTTATCAAGTGTTCGGCAGTTTCCTAGCTCTTCCTCTCCACACGCACTGCATACCGTGTCTACCCCTCCGTATTTGGCCCGATATGTCTTGGTTTGCAGTACTCCCGTCCTTGGCCTCAAACAGTAGAGAACTACCCCGAGTATTATCATAGATCCTTTCCTTGGCAATTTCCTGCTTAAAAGTTTGATAGATCTCTAGTGCGTACTTATTAATCATGCCAATTCTCCACATGTCAGTCTTTGTTTCCTTCACTTTCTTCTTAACCGATAGTTCTTTTTGGTTTGGCCACCTGCTGTTTTCTAAGTATTTACCAGTCAATTTCCTGGTTCGCTTCCTCCATTTTGTATCAA